AACTCTGTCCTTGTTCTTCCTTACTGATGATAGCTGTTCCCTAATCAGAGCTGCTTTGATTTTCTCGACCTCAGCATGAAGGTCCCGCTGACGTACACCGACCGTCTTTTGCAATTTTCTGCTGTTGTTCTGTTCGTCTTCCAACTTTCGTTTGCACCGTGTGAGGAATGAAGATACTTTCCTTAGGCCACACCAATTTAATTTCTTGGTTAACGGATTCGCCGCTTCATTTTTTTCAGATTTGCAAATAAAAATAAAAATCCAAAATCAACTGCAAAATGCTCATATTTTGCCCTGAACAGTTGAAAACAGTCCTTTTCTTACTACTTGTTACAGTCATTCCATCTTCCAATGCAGTGGTATCATTAAAAGTTCAAAATTCATTGTTTAAATTTTGAACCAGCCTGGTGTGATGACTTCATGGCTCCTATCGTACCATTTTGGGCCATAATAGGATGCCTAGGCCTGTATTTATTTTTATTTTTTTTCGCCCGCCCGCTCCATTATTTTTCTAGAAAAATCCGTTAACCAAGAAATTAAATTGGTGTGGCCTTAGTAGTATTTAGATACCTGCAATATGTAACTTTGAAATTGAGATAAGTGTAAAGTAAAGCTGTCAAGATTTAAAGTGCTTGTCGTTGTATCTTTGTAAAAAAAAGGGAGATAATGGCCAAGTGCCATTTTTGTAAATATCTGTCGAGATTCAAAAAGCTTGTCCTTGTATGATTGCAGTATGATTTATTCAGAATCTTCTATTTTTGTATGGGGAGGGAGATGGAGTGAAATATTACATTTGCTCCGAAGCAAATGTTGGCTGGCCTTTCTAGTTTCATGACCATAATGTCTAGAAGTCAAATACAGTAACATTATCAATGATATTTTGTAGTTTGCAATGTAGGATATAGACTTTCAGAATTGTTGTTTAATACCTGTTCCCTGTACGATTGTAGAGCAATAAAGTCCATTCTTTTTTCTATCATTTTCATCAGGAACTGATTGAGGCTGCAGAGGAAGGGGAGGTGACAAGAATACAGAGACTGGTGAAGAGAGGCGCGGATGTGAATGTGGGAGATCCCGACAGACAAGTATTACTAGTCATGCCACATTACAGACTCCTACTAACCCCCTGACTGACCACTAAAGGAGTGAAGTGAAGAAGGGTGTGTTGAGAAATTTGAAACATTGTAGATTACAAGTGTTGCAATTTTGAAAATTAATGTATTTCATTTCTTTTAACAAGACTAAACAGTGACACTTGTCATTGAACTCTAACCCTTGTTATAACATTCATGCTCATAACAGTTGTGTCTTTCTATAAATCAAAATAAATTGCTATAAACAACTGGATGTAAAGATATCAACATTACATAACATTATACATTGTACTTTTAAGCCAGGTGTTAATTCAATACTAGTATATACTATGTATTTCCCTTGCAATTGTATGATTGCTGTATTTGTGGTGTGTAGGGTAACAGTGCCCTACACCAGGCTGTACTGAAGGGCCATGCAGATGTTGTACAACTGCTACTGAATGCAGGCAGCCAAATCAACTGCAAAAATCAGGTACGCTTTAAAATCAAGTACTACATGACGCTAAAAAAGGAAATTTGTCGTGCTTATGAATTATGTGGACATTGATTTGATACATGAGAAATTATAACTTACAATTGATTCTTTTGAATTCACTATTTCTATAGATTCCGTCTCAATAAGCTTATGCTTAATTCATCCTCATCATGTTTGACGTATATCCTGAAAGTGAAAGAACAACATGAAAAATGCAGTTTTGTTTGTAGTGATATGGAAAGTACATCTTTTCCAATCTCTTTATAGGATGGAGACACACCTCTACATTGTGCTGCATCCTCCAACATGCAAGGGATCCTAAAGCTCCTCGTAAACTACTCAGGGTGCAGTATCAATGCCAAGAACTATGTGAGCACATTCAAAACACTTTCTAGAACAAACTTTGACGTACATGAAAAGTCGAACCCCATAATAGCTAGCGTAGTAGTAGAAGTAGAAGTTTTTCCTAGACAGTTGTTACCTGTCTCCTGTTACTGTATTGCAATGAGTACTAGTATTATACTTGATTGTAAAAGCAATTAGCCTTCAGGCATGATTTTGCAAATAAACTTAATAAAAGAATCTTCAATTATATTTTTTCTAAGATTCTAGCAAGACAGAGGTCCATCTTTGTTCTGAGTTGAGGAAGGTGACAGACAGTCACTTAAATGCCAGCTGAATAAAACACTATATATAAAAAGAGCAGTCATCTTATTCTTTTTCTCTGGTTTCAGCATGGTGATACAGCCCTGCACTGTGCAGCCAGGTGTGGACATACAGACGTGGCCAGATACCTCATCAGTCTACCTGGGATCCAGGTCAACATGAAGAACAATGTAAGCCACACTATCGGAATTCTTACTGGGAAGTTTGTATACTTAAGTATTTCTTGTCCCGGTAGTGACAGTTGCATGGAGAGTTGCCACTATTCAAACAATATCTTGGGGTCTTCCTAGGCTGTCTCAAAAACTCACCCACCGCAGGGTAAAATTTGCAGGACATTGTTATAGAGCTAAGCAGGAAATCATTTCTTCTGTCCTTCTCTGGAAGCCAAGAGGTCGAGTACACCGTAGAAGTAACTGATACCTTAACTAGGGACACTGGCATAGAACTCGAATACCCAGGAAATGTAATGTTAGACAGACTCCTGGAGAGTTGTATGTGATGGCATAGAGCCTGGCAGATAGGCCGCTAATGTATGCATGGATGGTGAGAGGTCATTCATTCCCTCCACAGTTTCAATACATTCACGAAAAGTGTCGAAAACCTAAACAAACCTCTTTTGAAAGGTTTATTATTTTCTTTTCCAGCTGGGCTACACAGCTCTGCATATCTCAGCTGCAGCCTGCAGGTGTGACCTGGTCAACATGTTCCTAGAGGATGATGGGTGCCAGCTGGACAGCAGGAACAAGGTATGTGGTGCATCCTGGGTCACTATGGTCATCTCAGTCTATGGTAATAGAGGGTAACAGGTGGAATGACTAAAAACTGCAAGAAATCTAATAAAAATGACTGTGTCTTCCTCTTCTTATGAGTTTATTGCTGCAAAGATTTTATTTCATGTCTTACTAGTATTTGTTCGTTTGTTGATGAAGCTTACACCTGAGACAAGTGACACAACAATGGGGCCTACCTGGAATTTGAACCCAGAACCTTCTGATTCTGAGTCAACAACCCTAACTGCAAGACTAGTCCTTGCCACCTTAGACCACCTTGTCACCTTTTTAATTGTACGGCTTGCAATATCTGTCTTTATCCAGAAATATCATCAAGAAATTTTTTTTTTCAAATATGTACAGCATGGGAACACACCCCTCCATGAGGCTGCTATGAATGGCTGTGTAGATGTGGTCAGGCAGCTGGTCAATGCTAACTGCGATGTTAAGGCAGAAAACAAGGTAAGCTGCAGTTCACTATAGACCTGGTAGATGGTGCTCTTGACATGTCTATAACAGGTGGCCTGTTAGGGTGACCTGTTGTGGAAAGATCTTGTACTGTATTTACAACTCTTTTGTTGAATGAATTGTGTTCTTGTCCTTGTTTGCCATGGATGAAACACAGAAAATATGAACTAATAGAGACAGTTCTATGAGAGAAGAGATAATACCTTTACAGTCACTGTGCTACTTCTGAGATACTGAGATATTTCCATGAAGATCATTGGTGAAAAATCATCATGGACAGTTTGCTAAATGACATGTGAATAGGTTTGATTGGCCTCACTTTTAGAACAAAGTGTGTGCTAGTGTTGGTGAAATGCCATTCAGCTATTATCATATAGATGGTACTGTGAATGCAGTTATCCATGCAATTTTGTATTTCTCTGAGTATTGATATTTTATGTAAACTTCAGGATGGTAACACACCCCTGCATAGTGCAGCCTGGGGAGGGCACTGTGAGGTCACAAGACTCCTCATCACAGGCGGAACAAACATCAATGCAAGAAACAGTGTAAGACAGTCAAACAGCTCTTACGTTAAATCCGTATTGGAGTTTTGAAGAAATCTATAACACATTATTCATTTAATATACTGTATGCCACATGACTGTACATGTACATGTACTTCCTGAACAGTTTGACATGTCATGCCAAGCTATACCGATACAGATACAGATACAGTCATACAGTACTAGGCATGTGGCATGCCATACATGTTTGTATATACCAATCTATTCCATTTATACATTGCAGTTTGAGAGGGTTTGAGCAAAGCTCAGAATATGCTTAATTGGTAGACCATTGAGGGTTGAAATCTTGTACCTTTCTCAGTATACGCACTCAATTTCTCTCATACGGTATGTAATATACAAAAATGTAGTCACCAATTGTATTTTTTGTAGTTGCAGAAAAACTGCCTTAGATCATTATAATCCCGATGTAAAGCTGACTGCTATTATAATTGTTATTGTTGTTATTGTTTATAATAACAGAATGGAGACACACCTCTCCATGTAGCAGCTCAAATGGGCCACAGTGAGGTGGCACACACTCTGATCCATGCAGGATGTCATCTCAACATACTCAACTATGTAAGTTAGAACTAGCTCAAAATTCCTAGGTAAAAAAAGATAAAGGTTCCGTATATTTATTTTCAATGCCTTTTACTCCCTTTTACCTCCTAAACTGAAGTCAGGTACCCAATTTACACCTGAGTTAAGTGAGGAATGTTGTGTATAGTACCTTGTACTGTTGAAGTGTTAAAACATGTACTAGTACTTTGGTCATGACTAATCTTGGTTACCTTCTCCCTGTCTCTCATTAGGACAATATGACGGCTAGAGATATTTGTCAAGATCACAAAGACGACAGCCACAAAGAGATTGTGGCCGAGATAGACTCCATTACAAGAATCAAGGTTAGTAAAGCAAAGCAAGGTCTGACTTGTGATCAAAATAATGATTACAGTTACTACTGTAGTAGTGTTGTGTTCATGACATAGTTTGTAGTTTCTACTATATGTTCTTAGTCTTAAATTGTCATAGGATGAGGTATTCTGTGCACACAGAAGTATTTCTAGTCATACCTGATTGTATTTTTGGTCTCTTTACCAATGTAATGTCTCTTTTTGATCCAGAATGACACAGCAACGAGAAGTCTTGCCGACATTGTGCTTATAGAAATTAAAGGTGAGAAAGTTAGTGCGGGTAAAGTTGGAGCTCTGCAGGTATTTCTGATGTCTACCTGCACCTAACCGGCACTGGGCCATGTACTGTGTTACACGTGTGTGTGTGTGTGTATACATGTGGATTTATATTTGCTGCTTTGACTTTTACCACCTATGAAAGTATAAATAATGGCAATGGTTTCTGAACAGTTTTAGTGTTATCCATACTTCTCAAAGTCTGAGTGGTGCAGGTAAAATTGGTGCAGGTAATTCTCAATGTTACCTGCATCAGTGCAGATGTGTAGAAAAAGTATTTCAAGCCCTGCTTACCCATTCTTTCTATTGCCCACCTCCCTTGTATGTTATTCTGTAGGAGTGTTAAGTGATGAGAGCCTGTGGAAGCTGTCTAAGTGTATAGGTTCAGAGTGGGACGCCATGATGGTGTATCTGGGCTTCCATCAGATGGACATAGTCAGGGTCAGACTGGAGTTCTTCTGTGACATGAACTTACAGGTGACGTCTCCTCTACTTCTACCGGTACTACAATCATGTACTTTGTTTTTTGTTCCTTGCTTTACATAGCTGGTAAATTGCTTCTAGATGTAACACACCAGTTTTGTGCAGGCTGGACTGTACAGTTTGATCCACTCACACTGGGAGTGGGATGGACCCCTACTCTTTTTGATGTGTGTTGTATATATATATATATTTAGTCTATCATTGAATGTATGTCGTTGACTAGCGCACCCTCAGTCAAATTTTTGACATCACACATCCCTGGCCACTCCCAAACCACATTTAATACCCAAGGGCAGACCTAGTTGAAGAGCCCTTTATTCCAGTGAAATTCAACTTGAGCTCCCAATGCAGACTATACACAAACACACAAACTATCAATTAACATGACCAAAATCAGTACTTCTGTCTCAGAAGAAATGTTTGAACTGTTTGTTGGTTTTTGTCTCCTGTAGATCTACTCGTTGTTGAAGGAGTGGAGGAACAGAACTCCCCCGGCTCAGGAGAAACTGGGCATCCTGGCTGACGCTCTGCGGGAGGTGGGCAGGAAGGACCTGGCAGAGAACCTTCTGATCGGGATTGTGAGTGAACCACCTGGGGAGGAGACCCAGATCTAGCTGGCATTGTTCCTGTTTGTTTGTTTGTTTGTTTGTTTGTTTGTTTGTTACCCTGTTTGTCTGCATAACCATCAAACTGCCTTTAGGCACAACACACCAGTTTTGTTACAAGTTAAGTACAAACTAGCCTGTTATTCAAGTTCTTTTTCTGGCGCTCATAAAGCGGCCAACCCCGTACTATCGGCAGGCCGGCGAAAAGCGAGGTTTATTCAGGCTAAATGCAAACTACATAAGGTAAAACTGATAAGTCACACACACTGAGGAGGACCCATACTCTTATGGATAAGTGTGGTGGGTTCTTTAATATGATTGAGGTGCAGCTCACCCCAAACACAGGACCTGTGCTTTACATCATATCCAAGAGGACATCCCTGAACATATATACATCGTAGCTAGGGAGCGATTTTCACCTGAGTTGAGTGAAGGAATAGATATAAGTAAAGTTCCTTTCCCAAGGGCGCAACATTGGGACTATGGACTGGAATATAGAACCTCTATATTCTGTGAAGATTTGAGGTGCATTTCTGGGTTCTTTCCACATCTGTTTTTGCATGATTGTATAATGTTAGAGAACATTTGTTCAAAGGAAGTGGGAAGAGTAAGTCAAAGAAATAAGTTGCTTTTACAATAGGGAAATGCCCTCTATTACTTATTGGTGTACATAGTGGTATGAAATTGACATAATGTGAAACATTTTTTATGAACTTTTACCATGACATTGGTCTGTTAAACTTATATATGATTGTAAATTGTATATAATTCTAGATGTCACATATTTCTAAAATGAATATTTAAGTCTAAAACTGTAATTGCACCAGCTAGCCTTCTAAGAAGGACAAGAGAGCTACATGTATTTATTGTTGTGCAGAACACAAATTTTATGTATCTTTTTATCCTAATTTAAGGAAGTAACAGTTACTAGTAAGTATTTATGTAAGAGTAAAAAATGAATGAGGAGTGATAGAGCATCAGAATCAAATGGTTACATTATATGTCCTGGCAGTGTTCTAGCCAGCAGGAATTTTTTCATCATCTCATGATTTTGTTCGATGTAACATTATGTCAAGTGCCCAAGGCACAAAAATCCTAGGGTCCTAGTAAAATTTCGAAATCTTGACCCTCTGAAATGCTATTTCTTGCATTTTGAGGGCCAAAATTTCCTGGTAGACTAACTTTAGCTCAATGACATCTCTTTCTATATCTTTACATGGCAATTTTGTATGTCAAATATATGATGGATTGGGCAAAATTTTTATCCGCCTCTAGTGGCAAACCTCTGTCAAATGGCAGACGCTGGCTAGTGTCCTGGAAATATGTCAATAGACTATGGAATCATCATATTCATATTATGTTTAAGTTAACTGATACACATACATGATTGTACATCCAATAGTATACATCTTTGAGAAGTGATACACTTATACACTAAGAAATAAACACCTTTGCCTGTCTTCTATCCTTATGTGTATGTTTAAAGGCCAAATTCCTATGACTAGGATTTGTCTTGAACCAACCATGAGTTGCAGTCTTGTATGTTGGGCTCATCATTTTGATGCAGCAGTTAAACTATGCGGCATTCGCCAACAGTAGTCTTGTGACATGTTGCCCTTTTGGGTACTGAACCTGCATGTGAGGTAGCAACAATACAACTTTTTAAATACATCGGCCAATCACATTGCCTCCTGACAGTAGGTAGTGATCTGATTGGCTGGTAACTTTTCCTGAACCTTGGATGCCATCCTACCATGGTGGCAAGTGGAAAGGGAGAGCTGGTAGTAACTATGGAGACTAGTTTTCCTTGATCTGGGAGAACAACACTTCCATTCACTCCCATCTCTCAACAACGACATCTAGCGAAACGACCAATAAACGCAGATCAGATGAGGTCACAGCAGGTGGAAAAACCTGCTCATAGCTGGGAGCAATGCCCATTGTGTAACATACCTGTGTGCGCCGCGGAGTCGAGGCAACCCTACAGTCCGGTCAGAAGAGTCAAGACGTCGTTTTGGGCGGCGGCCAAGATGCTGTTTTTCGCCGGGTTTGTGCTTGCCTTACTGGCCATCGAAGGTTCTAATGCCCAAGGTAAGTTATACTTCAATGTAGCACATGATAGTAAGGGCTCTCGTTGCTACTTGTCTTAGGGCCACCTTGCTAAAAGTTTGCGTCACATATTTTAGAGGTAATGGCTACCTTTCTTATCAGTAAGGGAGGATTGTAAGCCCCCCAAAAAATCTGTTAAAATTTAATTCAAGGATGGGGTATCTTTGTGAACATTTCAGATCGACAATGTTCTTACAACTATATATACCGGGGATTCGGTTTTTCGCATGTACAGTATGTCCAGACGGCATCATGATTTGTCTGTAAGTAAATAAATGCCCAGATTGACCTGTTTGTATGACTGGGCAGTCGTTAGCAAAAAATGCTGTCACCGAAACACAAGCAGGGCGAGTAAGTTCGCTGAAATACTTTGCAGTTTTGTCCACTATTTTCTTTTAAAACGCTAAGAGACCAGTTCTATGTACTGAACTAAACTTTGGTCACTAAAACAGTACCTCTGTCAATGTAGTATCAGTGGTAGTGCTAGTGTCTTTCCAATAACGTTTTTTTGCTTGGTGAATGTTTTTGACATGAGAGTCATGAGAAACATAGAAACAATCTCTGGGGTATGCACATCCAAAGTGCATTTTTTAATTCAAACCCACCCGTAAGGCGCGTTTTGGGTGGTACTTTTTTCCAAACGCCGGATTTCGGATGGTTTGTCTCTGAACGAAATGTACAGCCCCACAGAAAACACATCTTTAACAAAATCCTGCTCTATCACTGGGGCGCATTGTTTTATATCTATATGCTAGTCTCGTTCAGCATTAACGCAATATAGACACAATTTTCCCTGATAGATCTAGACTTTGCGTTTCTACTGTAAATTCCCTAATGGTGTAAGATAACTGAGAAGTTTACCCTCTAAATGCGGCTATTTCAGCCTTTCAGTTTCTTTCATTACTTTGTTCAAGAAAGGTGGCTTGCAACTTACACTCTTCCAAAATCTTGATACAGTTACCGATCAAAATGTCAGCCTATCTCTGTAGATATTTTTCTCTTGTTTTTATTGACTCCGCTTTTTTCAAATTCTTGAGTGTGTCGCCATCTTGGCTCGTAACTTTATTTGTAATGTTTGATCAACCAAAACATGTCGATGAAAGTACTAACCTTGTTATAGTAGATAGGGAAACATAACTTATGCCAATCATGTATCCGATGATACACTTTCATTGTTACATATCAGGGGAAAGAATATTAGTTACCTTTCAGAATTATCACATATTTGTCCTACAAACGTCTAGTGCCCACATTTCCCTCGATCATGTGTTCGTTTTTATAATTAGCATTGTATATCATATCTGTTTTTAAATTTATTTATTGACATATATTTATTGAGTATTGGGCAAAAATCAAAAGTTGCTTATATAACACATTCTACTCAAAAACATACAACGAGTATAAAACACATTGACAAGATACATGCATAATTACAAGGTGGATAAAACCAAGATAAATACAATTTTATATCGCCGAAAAGCTTGTTTCTTGTCTCTTAAAATGAAACCCGTTTTTTTCTTTAGGAAACTTTTGGGAAACTGAAAAAGAGACGTGTATACGGTACGGTCGGACCGGAGACTGCGCCTTCTATGGTATTCCATGTTTAGAAAAGAAATACAACTGTATGCCGGTGGGATTCCCGGTTGGCTATGGATATCGCTTCTGCATGAAGATCACCGAGCACTTCGAAGAATTCGACGCGGACGTAAGCAATTTTTTTATATTTCAACATGTAATCACAAGACGTGGTGACGGCACACTCATGTTTTTTCAACTTATATTAATGCCGCCACCAACACAGGGGACAGTACAATACTCATTTTCACCTGAGCGAAGTGACGTAAGCATTTCTATGGACGTTTACTATGCTATGTGTTTAACAATGTCTGAGCTAAGGATAAACTCACGATTGCAATATAGTATTTTCGTACTTTTGCACATAGAACTGTACGTACACCTGTAAAATAATCTAGACAGTATTAAAATTGAAAATGAGGAACAGGTCTGCATGCTCTAATTTTTAGATGAAATATGTAAACACAAGTGACTATTTAAACCTCTGTATCCGTTTCTGTATTTTTAGGTACAATTTTTAAGGGTGTACCTGTACATTTTAGATCATATCTTGATATCATATATACTATCTTATGACCTAATTTTGATGTGTATCTGACTATGTTTTGTACACCACAACCTTCTCATGCCGTCTTTTTTTCACAGGGAAAAGCATGGATCAGCGCAGTCCGCAATTGTCTCACCAAAGCTCTCATCCCCATCTATAAGACTGAAATCTACACCTGCCCGACACTGCAGACGTTCGGCCTGAAGACTTACCCCAAGTGTTTCACCCAGACGAAGGCGGGCGGGGGCCTGTGTAAGGTGGTCCAGACAAACAAAGACGCGCTGATAAATGTGTGGGGAGCAACCGGCACACAAGGCGCGCTGAGTTCTGTTCTCTTAGAAGAGGTAAGTTAGAGTCTTACATTGCTTCAGATTTTGAACACTATACTAAGTATACAAGGATATCAAAGCATTGCCGCTGTACATTTTGCCACATTGTCTTTCTTCCTCGTGGGTATAAACGGAAACATGCGAACTTTCTCGGAGGCCTTCCATTTCGTTCGTTCGTCCCTGTTCGTAGGATGTACCAATGCCAGTAAATACCAGTAAATTTAGATAATATTTACTTTCTAAACACTGCCGAAGTTTCAAATGTGAGTAAATAAAAGTCAAGTTCGTTAATTTTACTTACTACCATTGTTTAGGGCTTTGTAAAGTGTTAAGAAAATAAACATTACGCGACTTAACTTGCGATTACTACCATTGGAAAATTGAAATTTTCGTGTAGTGTTTAACTGTTTATTTCTAGCTGTTCCAACATGTATTTATGTCCCGTCAGATCCTGGTAGCGTCCCAGATGTGCACGTGTTACCCCGACCAGCCTGGTCTAAAACAAATTGTGGACTCCACCAGCGCTATCTACACAAAGGTGCTGGAGATCACAGCCACCCATTGGGGAGCAGCTCCAAAAGAAGGTACTGGTGCCATTTCTTCTAATTACCTCCGGGTAGGGATGTATCCCTGCGCGGACGGGTTTTGTGGGGGACGAGGCTTTTTACGTTCGCAGCCGTTTCTCGCGTTTGGGTGGACGGATATGTCTGGGACTTGGTATACGTTTTGCTATTGGGCTGTAGGTAGTGCACGTTGTTTTGTTTTTTTAGTATGTGTGTTTTAGTGCGTGAAAATGATGCGTTTTGACAGCATATGGACACCCTTTGAGTGTGAAAGTGGTTTTGTCTTTTGATTTTTTTGTTCTAGAATTTTTCTCATCAGTACTACGAGTTCCCCCTCCAACAAAAGCTACAACAAGAAGAGTGTGTCTTAACAGACATGTCCTATGCTTTATAATATTTCATAATATGATACTAATATTAAAACTATATAATAGGATCATGGACAATTGTGATCAGCTTTAGAATAACCAATGTCACACCAGGTAGTTGTATGATCATATACATCGATATCATGATTGTTTAATTTTTGACGACCTTATAGGACACTGACCACAGTGTACAATAGTTATGTTTGTCGTTTATTATGGGCTCGTGGCCCACATCCAAACAAAAGCATGTAAAATACTTTAAAACACACTGACAGAACTACACATGTACTACCTATGAAGTATCTTACGAATTGTTGATGTCTTTCCAGCGACAAGTCCTGCCTGTGAGACCAAGGCTCTGGAGGGAGACTGTTCCTTCTACGACTGTTTCGAGAAGCGCTTCCCGTGTGGCCGGACCCAATTCGTGCGGAGGGAGGGTCAATCCTTGTGTGAGCAGCTCGTGAAGAAGGCCCCGGTGTTTAACACAAAGGTTAGGTGTCAGGAAAAATCTTTAGTCATTCATTCATTTATTTCCGTTGCTAGTTCTGCAATGCTCTTTCTATGCTACTGCAACAGAACTTCTGGTTTTTTCTGGTCAGAGATTTTTGAGTGGCTTTCATTTAGTTATGCATTATACAAAAGTTCACGTTTCCGTATTGCCTGGTCAATACAATATGTCTGTTTGTTATTCCATCTCTTTTCAGGTTAGTTTATCTTATCATTGCTGAATCATTACTCGACAACCCTTTCTCAATATTTCCCTACTGCAAACTACAGTAAAAATGAAAGAATATGCTTTGACACATCCAAACGCATTCCAGTTCTCCCAAATGTCCTAAAATGTACAATTATATCTACATGACAACTACTGGATACCGTGCTGACGTTCTATATGTGTTTCCCAGGGCCAGGACTGGGTAACGGCATACACCAAGTGTATGACACGTTCCATGCTCGCGTTGTACAACGAGGAGTCCCTGTCGTGCAGGCGTATCCGTAACTACGGCTTCCGCTCACAGTTCAACTGTCTCATAGACACCGACATCTGCGATCTGGTGGAGAACAGGCAGGTAGGAGGCAAACGATTGGATTTGAAGCTGTCCATAGACACACAGACACACACAGACACAGACACAGACACAGACACAGACACACACACACACACACACACACACACACACACACACACACAC